GACACCTGTTCCTTGACACGGTGGTAAAGGTGTGGCACTTCAGCACATCGAGTGAACCCCACGTTTTCAATGATGATTTCATTGGAAATCTCCGAACATCCTGGGGCATTCTGGCGACCTTCTTGGAGCTGTTGCTCCAGTTTCCACACCCAGTCCACAGGTGGTTCTACGATGCAATCTTCACGTTCAGGTGCAGAAACATGCACATTCAACGACGGCTGTGTATGCATTAAAGTTCGGATTCTTGGCAAGCAGCAGGGCCAAAAATATCATCACGATTCGGTTGTTGCCACCTGTATTCTCGGGCAACAGAGCATGACCTGACCACCCATCTTCCTCGCTTCCACTTGGGGATCTCTTCCCATCTGGTGGTCAACAGCTTGATCACGGGGCACCGGGGTAAAGACCCCATAGGCCTCCAGTCGGCTCAGTTCCTTTTCCTTGCCTAAACGGCTTTCAAGTTCCCACCGATCATCATCCCATGAGTCAGGATGATCGTGGAATCCCTGACCATCATCTTCTGCCAAATGCTCGAGACTATCCTCGAGCAACTCGATGGGATCTTCATCTACATGGCCACCTGCCTCAACGAGCAGCAATTGACCTTCATGCTGTTCCTCGGGGTCCAGGGGACCGCAGATCCAGAACATCAAGCGAAGTTTCAGCTGCACGCTTTGTTCCAGTTGTGGGATTGAGCGCAGTCCTCTTTAGACTCCCAGGCCCATCAACTTCTTCCCCGCCTCGCTTTGTGGCCGCCGGTCTCTGCTCCTGTTCTAGTGCTTGCCGTGATATCCTTTCCTCCTGTGGCTCCACAGGCGGCTCAACCAGCACCTCGGCCGGTAGCCTGACTCCCTGATGGTCCTGCAGGCTCTTCAGCATCAGTTGGTGCCACAGTCAAAAGTGAGGAATCCGGCTGTCTCTACCTCGGGCAGAGGCAAGGCGAATCGGATGGGCTCTCGCTGGCGTTCAGGAAGCATTCGTCGTACTGTGCGACATCGGTACACACCTTGAGGAGCTATCTGCCGACCCAGACGCGTCCATCTTCTGTTTCCTCCTCCCCTGGCGCTGGCGACGGCTAGGAGGGTTTGGTTCAAGAAACAGGACATGTTCTCCGAAGGCCACAACTTCATTGGTGTACTGTGCTTGGTGCAACTCTTCAAAACATATTTTTCCGCTGTTTTTTCATGTGAAAGCGACTATGGAGCCAGGCCGCCATGCTCTGAAGACATGCGAAGGCCCAATCGCAATTCCACGCAACTCGGAAAGATTCCGCAAGGCGTCTGACAGTTTGGATAGCACGTGCAGCCCGTCCATTTGACTGTGACGAATACAATGGATTCTCTTCAACACACGATGTTCCCACTGTTCCTTGACAGCAGCGATCAGTGCCTTGAGCACAGGCTCGTTGTCACTTTTCTCAAGATGACATTCTGATGGCGCATCAGTTGCAGGAATGTCAGCACCATTCGAGTGAGATGCGGCAGGTGTTGGTCCCCTTTGCCAGGTGATGGTACTGCGGCAACAAACCCAATTTCAGCATCTATGATCAGCAATGCTTGTGTGATCCCTGCAGACTTCTGTGCAGACTCCGTGGAACTGGCTACCTCGAACCAGTCCATGCATATGGTCGGACGAAGTCGTGCACCTTCCAGGGACCCTCCTCCCTTCAACTTCAAACCAAGGTGAGGAAGGTCACGTCCTCGGCCTCGCCCACATGCCTCACACAAAGGTTGATAAGGGAGATGAGTCAACTCATGCATCAGCCGTTCAACCTCTTTAGGTTCCTGGGGAGTTTTGAGTTCCACTGGTGGTCTCGGCGTGTGATGGTTGTACGTCACTCTCTTTCCGTCTGGTGAGACAGTCCAATGGTCTTCACCCTGGGCTTCAACGTCATCAACGGCGTGGATCCGCAGTTCTGGATCACACGTAACAGCATACACTTGATGTTGACTTTTACCTTTGTTCTTACCTTTGGTCGAGCTTTCTTCCTTTGTCGTGCACTCCAGTTCTCTGCACGCTTCTCCTCCTCTGTCCACTCCGAACGTCGTTTCTTCAGACGACCGGCCGGACGGTCAGGTGGAGGTCCTGCTGCTTCTGCAGGACGTCTTTGGGCTCCTTTGAGTCGAACCCCTCCTGTGGGCTCCTCAACCTCGACGTCCCCTTCTTCTTCTTCTTCTGAACTGCGACCGTAGTCTGCCGAATTCGTGCCTCGGTACTTGGTGTACCTGTCACTGTAGGATGACGACGAACTTTCTTCCGTCTCCTCCTTGCTTTAGCCCCTTGTTTCTGAGGCCTTTGATTCAGGTGCTCCTCTGGCTCCTGATGATGGCGCTGAAGAAGCTGGAATCTCCTGGGGCTCCGGCTTCCGCTTGGCTCCTTGGGGGGCTACCATGGCTCCCTTAGCAGCCTTAGCATCTTTGGATTTGGCACCTGGAACGTCTTCTCCTTCAGCTGCAGAGTTCTTCGCAGACTCCTTGGTCGTTGAACCTTGGTCTTGTACCTTTCGAACATCCTTCACATCTTGGCCTCCTTGGACTCCTTTTGCCATCGAGTCTCTGTTGACTCTTTGGGTGATCGAGTCTCCTTGGACTCCTTCGGTGATTTCGTCTTCTCCTGCTTGACAGAGGTATCACACGACTTCTTTGCAAGGGCTTTCGGCAGCGCCCGTGGCTCCCGTTCTTGCCACACTGGAACCTGTCGGGCTGAAGCAGCTTTCTCCGGCTTCGCCTCTTCCAATTGGATTTTCGAGGGTTCCACTCGCATTCGTTGTTTGTATTTGACCACTCCGTCCCCGATAGTCATCATCTTCGTGGTTCCGATCTGTTGGACCCAGTAGTCATCCTCCGGCGCCATGGGATAGCAAGGGATGTAGTAACTCTGCAACATTCGGGTAACTTTAAAAGTCATTCCATCAAGTTGCAGCACATCTCCTCCCTCAGCACCAATTTTCAACTGGGCGTTAAGTCCTGCAACCAACTTGCCAAGTGACAAAATTGGCTGTTTGACCGGTCCAATGAGGAAAGGGATTTCGATCTCAGCTGTCATTCGATCAGCACCGTAGAATTTCAATCCAACGATGCGATACCTGGACTCATGGCTGATGACACTGCCTTGAGCGTCACGCAACACAGGCCCATTTCTCCTGGTAGTTGTTCGACACCATGGAGCCAAATCCTCTGGGCATAAAATGTTCATGACTGCCAGAGTCGATCAGCACCATCGCCCGACCGTCCTCTTTGCAAGATCTCACCCCGGTTGATGTCACCCTCAACTCGGTCTCTGGCGATGTATCCGCTTCTTGCTGTCGGACTACCGTCACCGTCACTCCGGTCTCCGGTGCAGTGACCTGGTTGACGTTCCCTGTGGCGCCACCTTCTTTGTACATTTGGTAGCATTTGTCCGCCGTATGGTTGGTCTTTCCACAGATCTGACATTTGGTCTTGGCTCCTTGGGACGACCCTTTTCCTTTCTGGCCCCAGCGTTGGATTTTCCATCCTTATGCCAGCACTCCCCTTTGCGTGCCTTTCCGCAATGATTGCACACCGAGGGTTTATCCCCTTTGGGGCTTTTACCCTTGCTCCCTGATTTTCCTTTTGCCTACCACCCTTTGAGGCCTGTACCTGGTCCACATCCATGGGCGCGGCTCCTGAGGTGTGGTCGTATACCGACGCTTCCTTGAGCGGCGTGTACCGGCGCTCAGCCACCTCATACTCAGTGACTGTCGCGTTCACATCGGCATAGGTAGTGGTATCCTTGACCAACATGTTGACATGGACTTTGATCTCAGGAGGCAACAATCGCCACAGTGCCGCGATCTTGACATGCTCACTGAGGACCTCGTGGCTTGTCGCCTCGTAATCCGTGAACAGACGTTCTACCGATATGATAGCGTCCCGAAGATTGGTCCCCTTAGGCGGAGCTGGAACCATCAAGATCGTCTCGAGCTCAAGTTCCTTGGGTCTCAGCGGCTGCAGTGGCAGCTGCCAAGGCCGCCAGGTGTTCTGCCATGGCCTGAGCTGGAGCGTCACCAGGACAGCTCCGCTACCATGTTTGGCAGCACAGCGTTGTTGGGCTCTTTTTCTATGCTTGATAGCAAAGGGCTGCAGGTATATGTGCTGTACAACATGCACATGTAGGAGTTGGCTTTTGTATGACAGCTCAACATTTTTCCCAGTCAACTTTCAACCTTTGACTCCAACAGATTACGCTTTGAATAATCTTTTCGCCATCACGGCTGTGTTAAAATGTAACCTTGAAAAAGAAATGGGCGCATCGTTTTGAGACGCCCTTTTATGCACATGGCAAACTCATTGAATATTGTTCTTGACAGATGTCATTTTTTTGTCTACATGTGAGCACGCTTTAGAATGCACCAAATCATTCACAAAGTGGCATAATCCAAATATGATGTCTGTTTTGATGCTGGTAGCTTCCACCAAGTACCAAACATGCCTACGTCTGAAAGTTCACCAGCTTTCTTTCTTGTTTTCGTATACAGGTGCGCGCGCTCTGGAATGCACCCGAAAAAAACTGCTCAACAGGAGACTACGTTTTAACCACGACTTAAACATTGATTTCCAACCACGGCAAGCTTTTGGAGTCTAACCACGACAAATATCAAAATCCAAACCGCGACGATTAGCTCTACAAATGCCCAACTGTGTGCGATTGTGAGTTATGATGTTTTTTAACCATCTGATTTGATTCTACTGTTTGCAAAGTCATAGGAGCCACCCTCTCTTAGTCAGTCCACCGAAAGTCCATAGTGATCAATCCAAAACATCGTGTACAGTATGCATATCAAATGGCATCATCCGCACATGCACGCTGAGATAATGCAGCAAACTCTTTAAATCTTGCAGCATTGATTCTGAGCTACAGTATGCACTCGAAGGCGTGTCTTTGCCAGAGCCGTTTAAACTAAAGCATAGCTCATTCAGCTAGATCAGGAGCTTTCGAGTAAGCCAACTCGTCTTCGCCTTTACCGCATCACAGGTTTAAAAAGAAAGTGTTGATTGTTGATGGTTTTAAGGTGACTTTCACAGCTCCTTCGGGGACCTTCTGACCATGTGGAAGCCCTTCCTTAGCGTTTCAAAGTTTTCGTGCACTTTCTCACTATTGTCGGGGGCGTTCCTAGTCAGCATTTTCGACGTGTGAACGTTTTCAAAGACTTTGCCAACATTTTTGGGGACTTTCTCTGCGTTTTCTTGGGGTTGTTCAGCAACTGCGGCAACTTTCTCAAAGTTTTCGCGTTTTCAGAGACTTTCTCAGCGTTTTCGGAAATGTTCTGCGCGTTTTCGGGTGCTTTCTCAACGTTCAGTCAAGACTGCGTTACGTAATTAATTAGAAAATATTAGAAAGCTATATACGGTTAGCATCATGCTTATCTTGTACTGTTAATGATTCAAGCATGCTATTAGTGAAAAAGCTTGATGTGCAGAGTATGCAAGGACTTTTGTGCGGAGTATGCAGGGAACCTTGTGCCGAGTAATGCCGAGTATGCAAAAGGCTTGTGAAGGAGTTGTGTGTGTGTGTCTAACCCTTCTTACACAGGGCGTGGTATGAATATGCAGGGGGATGGAGAGGACATATGAGGCTCCATCCAACGAAGCTCCTCATATGATCCTAGGATATCACCAGGGACGCTTGATGACGTACCTGCGCCATTTTTTTCCTGCATTCGGGTAGTTGAACTGTTGACTACCGATGTACTTTGATTTCAAGTCTACATTTCGTTCGATGAACTGTTGATTTCACATCTTTATGATGGCTGTTGTTACCAACATTGTAACTAACAGGGGCTCTCCATCCCAACTGTTTGGATTTCACCTCGACCTCACCCGTTTGGATTTACCTTCGGCCTCTACCATGTGGATTTATTTTCAGATTCCAGGGACGTTTCGGCCACAGCATTTTGGATTCAACCTCAGGGCTCACAACCAGATCAGTGTGTGTGTGTGTGTCTGACGAGGTTGTGTCTGAAGGAGTTGTGTGTGACAAGGTTGTGTGTGGAGAATGGGCGGCGGAGGCGGGTGAAGGAGGAGAAGTAGCGGACGGGAGTGCACAACAGAAACAAGAACCACACACAAAGATGTAGGGAAAACATATAGTATATACAGTAATAGTGATATCTACTACACCATCCGTGATATAGTATAATATATTTTCCTTGTTTTTGCAATAGTGTTGCTCCACTGTCGTGATATGCATTTCCATCTCGTGGTGTGGCCCAACGCTTAAAAAAACAAAAAATAAAACTAACAATTCTATTTGACTGCTGGTGGCTAGTAGATGTCCACTACAATAATATGCCTCTGAGAGTTCACAGGGTTTGGACCTTAACATGTGGCCTTCGGGAGTGCATGAAGGTGCGGTGCCTGCGCTGAATGTGTTGAATAAACACTCCGAGTTGATTGTGTTCCCAGTACCCACGCAGCGCGCAGACATATAGCAACTGTAAATTTTCAGTGGGGGTGATACTTTCGCAACCTGACTCAAGCTGAAGGAGGAGCCCTCAGGTCCTGCTCCCACGGTTCGCATTTTCTGCATTTTCTGCATTCGACCTAAGCTCAGGCCGCTTGAAAATGATGTTAAGTCATTCGTTCCATTGCCCAGCTGCAAGCACAATCCGCCAGGTGTATTTTCAGGCTTCAGCAAGGGTTACAAAGGTAATCCCAAATAGACTGATAAGCCTAAATAAAATCCGTTAAGCAACGCAGCTCTAGCTACCTTTTGCTACAGCTGCATGTCAGCCCTATAAATACATGGTGTTTTCCCTGGGGTGCAATTACACCCCCCCAGGTTGAGCCGGAACGGCAAGACTGCCCATTTACCAGGGCGAGACCATTACGGTCTGCCTTGCCGACATGGCCCAAATTGCATCCTGAGGTAAACACCCAAATTTGCGGCTTTATACAAAAACAATCGTCGATGCAAGGTGTGCTGAACTTATCCCTCTTCCCAGTCGACACGTCCATGCCTGATCACCTTTTGGTACCAACGACCGTGCCACTTCTGCCACTCACCAGTGTAACGTCGATCTTGACGGGAAGACTGAGGGCGGTCGAGCCACACACCTGCAGACGTAGATGATGAAGCTGCTTCAACCTTCGGTGATGTTCGGGCAACTGGATTAGCAGTGCTTTTCTTTGCAGGACCCTGGCCATACGCAGAAGTCTGTTTGGCCTTTCGCTTGGCCTCGTTCTTCTCTTTTGCACGATCTGACTGCTGCTTCTTTTCAAGCGCATTGGCTTTGTATGAATCCAGGTTGGTGTCCTTGATGTACCGAAGCTGCCGCTGAGCGTCATGGACTGCCACCTGATCGATCCCTGTGTTTGACATCAGCAGGTTGTAGTGAGGATTTCAGTTGAGATAGTCGATGCATTCCTCCTCGGAATAGATTTCTGTTCTATACATTTACAACCAGGGCTGATCAATGTATCGGAATCTGTCAGGGAGGTCAAGCCGGCTGCCAAGGTCCAGGTAAACAAGCCGCATTGCATTGTGTTCGACTTGCGAAGCCTCTGAGACACCCATCTTCACCTGAGCTCTCGTGCGGTCGGGCTTCGGGAGGTGAGCAGAACGAAAGAGGTCGTAACGCTCACAATCGTATTCATTCTCTCCCTCAGCCAGCAAGCTTTCCGCAAATGTGGCATCTTGTGTAAACCTGTCCAGAACCGAAGTGAAGCCCATTCCAATCGCTCTTTCCACACGGCCTTTTGCCCGCTTGATGAGGTCGGCCTCGGGCTTGAACTTCCCCGAGCCTGATCTCCCAACAAACCAAGGGTCTCAAGCTGATTCCTGGTGATGGTCTGGAGGTACTCCCCTTTGAAGTCGTATAGAAGAGTCCAAGCTTGTGTAAGGCTGCCTTGCGGCGCTCTGCAATGGCAGTCCTTTCAGCTTTGGGGATTCCCTCCTACATCAGGCCTGAATGAAATGAATGAATGAATGAATGAATGAATGGATGAATGAATGAATGAATGAATGAAATGAATGAATGACTGAATGAATGAATGAATGAATGAAATGAATGAATGAATGAATGAATGGATGAAATGAATGAATGAATGAATGAATGAATGAATGAATGAATGACTGAATGAATGGAATGAATGAATGAATGAATGAATGAATGAATGAATGAATGAATGAATGAATGAATGAATGAATGAATGAATGAATGAAATGAATGAATGAATGAATGAATGAATGAATGAATGAAATGAATGAATGAATGAATGAATGAAATGAAATGAATGAATGAATGAATGAATGAATGAAATGAATGACTGAATGAAATGAATGAATGAATGAATGAATGAAATGAAATGAAATGAAATGAAATGAAATGGAATGGAATGAATGAATGAATGAATGAATGGAATGAATGAAATGAATGAATGAATGAATGAATGAATGAATGAAATGAATGAAATGAATGAAATGAATGAAATGAAATGAAATGAAATGAAATGTATGAATGAATGAATGAATGAAATGAAATGAAATGAAATGAAATGAAATGAAAGAATGAATGAAATGAATGAAATGAATGAATGAATGAATGAATGAATGAATGAATGAATGAAATGAATGAATGAATGAATGAATGAAATGAATGAATGAATGAATGAATGAATGAATTGAATGAATGAATTGAATTGATTGAATGAACGAACGAATGAATGAATGAATGAGTGAGTGAGTGAATGAATGAATGAATGAAATGAATGAATGAATGAATGAATGAATGAATGAAATGAATGAATGAATGAATGAATGAATGAAATGAATGAATGAATGAATGAATGAATGAATGAATGAAATGAATGAATGAATGAATGAATGATATGAATGAATGAATGAATGAATGAATGAATGAAATGAATGAATGAATGAATGAATGAAGGAAATGAAATGAAATGAAATGAATGAATGAATGAATGAAATGATTGAATGAATGAATGAAATGAATGAAATGAATGAAATGAATGAATGAATGAATGAATGAATGAAATGAATGAATGAATGAATGAATGAATGAATGAAGGAAATGAAATGAAATGAAATGAATGAATGAATGAATGAATGAAATGATTGAATGAATGAATGAAATGAATGAATGAATGAATGAATGAAATGAATGAATGAATGAATGAATGAAATGAATGAATGAATGAATGAATGAATGAAATGAATGAATGAAATGAATGAAGTGAATGAAATGAAATGAAATGACATGAAATGAATGAATGAATGAATGAAATGAATGAATGAATGAATGAATGAATGAAATGAATGAATGAATGAAATGAATGAATGAATGAATGAATGAAATGAATGAATGAATGAATGAATGAATGAATGAATGAAATGAATGAATGAATGAATGAATGAAAGGAATGAATGAATGAATGAATGAATGAATGAATGAATGAAATGAATGAATGAATGAATGAATGAATGAAATGAATGAATTGAAATGAAAATGAAATGAAATGAAATGAAATTGAATGAAATGAAATGAAATGAAATGAATGAATGAATGAATGAAATGAAGGAAATGAATGAATGAATGAATGAATGAATGAATGAATGAATGAATGAATGAATGAATGAATGAATGAATGAATGAATGAATGAATGAATGAATGAATGGAATGGAATGGAATGGAATGAATGAATGAATGAATGAATGAAATGAATGAATGAAATGAATGAATGAATGAATGGAATGAATGAATGAATGAATGAATGAATGGATGAATGAATGAATGAATGAATGAAATGAATGAATGAATGACTGAATGAATGAATGAATGACTGAATGAATGAATGAATGAAATGAATGAATGAATGAATGAATGAATGAAATGAATGAATGAAATGAATGAATGAATGAATGAGTGAGTGAATAAATGAATGAATGAATGAAATGAATGAAATGAATGAATGAATGAACGAAGTGTGGTTCTTTTTTTTCTTTATGGTCTTTGGTGAGGTTCAACTGCAGTGCACTTAATTCAGATGGGGACTACTGACAGCCGTCTATAGGGTTGAATTGATCACCGAGGGCCTTGAGCAAGTGTGTGCGTGCGCACAAATGGTTGAACTTTGCAATTTTCGCCTGCGCAACGGTTGCGGCCTTTGGCGTGTGTCAGATTTCTCTCACCGCGGTGCCACAATGCTTGCGACATCGCTCGCGCAACTTTTGCGGCATTTGGTGTGTGTCGGATCGCCCTTGCTGTGGCACTGTGATGATTTTGACATCGATCGCTCTCGTTGTGGTGCAGTTTGGATCTTGAATTTCCCCAGGTCTTCCGCAACGTCTTCTAGACAGATTCCGTGTTGAGCACAGATCCTGCACAGATATCTTGCAAAGAGATCTGGAAGAAATCTTGGACATGTATCTTATCAAGAGATCCTGTTAAGATCCTGTCAAGTGATCTTGCACAGAGATCCTGCACAGGTCTTCCCAAAGAGATCTATGTTTTTTGCGCAGGACCTTCTTTAAACATGCTCAGAAGGTGGTCTCGTACAGGCCCTCTCTACAGATCCTGTCAGAGAACTTGTAGTGGATCCTCTCAGAGATCCTGTGCGTGCAACTGTACAGAGATCCTATCGGATGGAGAGATCGTGTCCATATACAGTATCTCGTTCAGGACCTTCTATACCAAGACATTTGCCAAAATTCTCGAAAGATCTTGCGCGAAAGCTTCCTACAAATCCATCAACAAAAGATCGAATTTTTAAAGGGTCCTGCCTGACGAGCATGTACAAAACTTCGGAAGAGATCCTACTCAGAGTTCTTGTCCTGATCTTCTTCTGAAATATGTTCAAGACTTTTTTGTGCAGGAGCAAGTGAGTTTCCGCTGAAATTTCTTCCATGTTAACTACCTCCATGGATTCGTGTTTCACACTGTTTGGCGCTGCTTGCCAGGATAGTTTCTAGAGGCCCAGGCTTTCTGTTCAATGGAGATGACATGAGCATGATGTCTCAACAGGGTAAGATGAGTAGGGCCATTTGTGGTTTCAATTTCGACGGGTTTTTCCGATTGAGACATACTTTGGAGCCAGAAAGCTGGCACAGGTGGACAGTTCAGGCGCAATTATTGTTGGTGGGTACTCTGAGAGCACTGACCTCGACAGCCAAAGCAACGCCGGCAATGCCGACGTCATGGTGATGAAGTTCTCGTCCGCCGGCGCCCACCAATGGACTGTCCTTCATGGCGGTTCAAGCAGTGAGCGGGCTGCCGGCCTTGAGGCGGAGAGGGCAAGCACAGAACTCCAGGATGTTAAGTTGCTTCACAGAACGCCCGATGGACATGTGACATACGACAATTAAAACATTTGAAGCCACAACAAACTCTAATAACTTTTCATATCATCATATTTTGCGGTACGAACTAAGGTATGTTATCATTTATCATATTTTGTTATATGTAGATGGCAAGGTTCAATGTACCATTTGCTGCATTTGCCATTTGGTTTTGTTCACAATTCTTTGACTAACCATTTTTGCATTGAAACTGCGATTGGCACTGCAACATGCAAACAGCATGGACCCCTGCAGATGGATGACACGCACAACATCGTGCGCTGCGACTTTTTCATGGCTCAAGAAATAGGAGCTGCCGTCATTGGGCTGGTGTGTGGGAACTCAAAGGGTTGCTCGACCACTGGAAACCCATAACCGGGGCCCCGGTTCGTAACCGCAGGTTATGAGCCCAAAGAGGTTCTGAAGCCATGTCCGTGATGCAACGCCGGCGTGCGGCTGATGGGAATGGTTCAGGAGAAATGGCCGATGCAAGGACGGCCGATGAAATGCTGGAAGACCTGATGGAAGATCTCAACAATGCCTCATCAGGAACAGCCGCAGTGAGGTCAGTACGGGTGGTGGGAAACAGGGATCAAGCCCAACCTGAAGGTGGAACCCGAGAGGTGGTCGGTGCTGGGGCCGCAGAAGCTCAACCGCATGGCCATCAAGGGGGAGCCCAAGGTGTGATGGAAGGCTTGTCGCCTGACCAGCAGGCCGTGCTTCGACAAGCTGCTGAAGTTCTTCGGACTGGGGTGCAGCTGCAGGGGCAGGCTGCTCCGCCGGCTGCTCTGGTGGATGCAGGAAGGCGACCTGAACATCTTCCAGGGGGCCAACAACAAGCTGAACGAGCTGGAGGCATGGGTCCAGGTGAAGGCCAACGAGGCGATCAAAGATCTTTTGGGTCCTCTTGCACTTCCTGCCGGCGGCTTGGAGCCATTGGTGCTTCGACCTGAAGGTCTACCCCCTGCTCCACAAGGTGATCCTGTGGTTTTGGGTCCTGCTGGACCGCATGGAGGTGCTGAACAACAAGGGCATCCTTCTGCACTGGTGCAACATGCTGGACATCAACCTGGTTCTGGTCAACTTCTTCGGCATCCTTCTGATCCTCATGGGGTACAAGCCGTGATGAGGACACCAGATGGTGTTGGGGGCCAACGGAATCCGTTTTGGAGCGACCGGGCTATGGCTGGAGGTGACTAACATGCTGCCAGCTAAGGGTTCAGGGTTTTAAAGAAGTTGAAGCCCAAATTCAAAGGGAAATGGAAAAACGTAAAGGGGAAAATAGCGGTAGTGGCTCATTCCAAAGTGTTTTGGGGGAAGTAGGTGTAGTTCAGTGTTCAAAAACCCCTGTGGATCCGGCTCTTGGCCAACTGGTGACTCCTCCGGGTCTTCTTGGCCTTCCTGGTCCAGCTATGCCTGCTGCTGCTGCGCCGGCGCCTGTGGTGAGCGTTGGCGAGAACCTCAACGAGAACCCGAGGAACTTGGAGCTGCCTAAGCTGTCCCCTGACAGCACTTCGGTGGACTTTGGCGACTGTCTGGCCATTGTGGGTCCGTTGATGTCGGATGTGAGTGGCACGAGCAGTCAGTGGTGGGCTTTGGTGTTGGACGCTGCGGCCAAGACGCTGTCATCGGCTTCATGGAGGGCCAGTTCACAGACTGGAAAACATGTCCTCAAGGACTACCTTGGAACCGCCGGAGACGCAGGCAGCTGGAATCGGCCAAATCCATTGTCTTGCACCTCTTCTCTGGGGACAAGGAGTCGAGCAGAAAGTGGTTGGAGTTGCAGACGCTGGGCTATGAGGTGATCACCTTGGATGTGGCTGCAAACAGCGCTGAAAACTTGCCCTCGGCTCGCCAGGGCTTACTGAGGGTCCTGCTGGGTGGCCCGCCATGCAGAACGTTTTCAAGACTTCGGCACAAGTCGCCAGGCCCGCGACCAAGAGCTGAGAAAAGGTGGGCTCTCCCTGACTTGGGGTCGTTGGAGGCCGAAAGGGTTCATGGAGACACGGCACTGGTCCTGAAGATGTTGGCCCTCTATGAGGAGATGGAGACGAGCCAGCCAGATGCCAACCAGTTTCTCCTTGAGCACCCTGAGGACCCATGCGCGTACCTTAAAAGAACAGGAGTCCACGGAAATGCCAAGCGTGTGGGAGTGGCCAGAACTTAAGGCCTTTGCAGAGAAGTTCAACATGAAAACGGTCTCTTTTCCCAAGGAAAATGTGGGCACAGCCGACGAAAACCAGCCTCCTGACGAATTTGCCAGGGATGGATGAACTACAGGGGTTGCGCTGTGGGGAGAACAAGAAGGGCATCGAGCCGCTTGCTGCGGATCTTCCACAACGTCTCAAACAGACCTCTTCCTGGTCGTCATGGGCTCCGGGTTTGACACAGGCTATCAAGGAGTCAATCAAACAGATGCCTGCGGCTGGCCTCAAACGCTTGTCTTTGGATGAGTGGCGACAGCATGTGAGGCAGAACCATACGCCTTACCGCCGTGATTGTCGTCTCTGCATACAAGAAATGGGTGGTGGGGAACCACATCGACGTCGAGGTCCTCACCACAATGGTGAATCGCAGCATATGTGTTGTCAGTTGACATGACTGGTCCACTCGTGAAGGGATGGGACTATGGAACTGGCCGTCAAGCCAAATATGCGCTGCTTGCCACGGTGCCGATTCCTGTCATGGATGGTCAACTACATGCTGAAGGTGATCAACCTCCTTGTGATGTTCTTCCAGGTCCTGAAGTTCAACGTTCAGAAGAAGTTCAACATGCTGGTCAAGTTCCACGTTCTGGTGGAGATGACAGCCCCAAAGAATGTCTTCCAGGTTCAGGTGCTCATGGTGAAAAAGTTCATGCAGGCCCTGTTGAACCTGTTCCGTCAAAAGGTGATGGATGTGATGATGAAAAAGATGGTGGAAAACTTGGTGATGCTCTTCCAGCTGACCCTCTTGCTCGGCTACCAGAATTGGGGGGAGAAGTCAAAAACCCTGAGCTACCTGAAGGAGAAGATGGGGGATTCAGTGAAGATGAGAAAAAACTTGGGGAGAAGCTGAACAAAAAATGGAGTGAGCAGATGGAAGAAGCCACCGCTCCCCTTGAAGATTCAGAATGTCACCTTGTTTGAACCTTTGGGCAGCCGCTCTACAAGCGAGTTGCTACCTGCTTTGGACAGAGTTTGTGTTGGCGAAACCTGTGCGAGCATGGGCCCCTGGGCAGGACGTCGAGGTTTGTACCAGACCTTCACGTCAGGCGACGACCCTCCTGCCAATGGCAGAATCGAAAGTGAGATTTTGCAGTTCAAAAGAAGGCTATACGACTGACACTTCAGTCTATAGCCGCCAAGCTGGAGGAATGGCCCTCAGTGGCACGACACTCTTCTGAGGAGCGTCTCCGCGCTCAACTTCAAAAAGTGGGACTACGGCAGTCGGCTATGCTTCCCTACAATGTGCGGGTGTTGTGGCACAAGCGCTTCACCCAGGGCATGGCGAGTCCGTATTTCCAGGCCACTTTGAAGGGACCAAGTCCTCTGATGCACCATGGACAAACTGACAAGGGCCTCATCCAACATGCCAGGTGTGTTGTGACCACTGATCCAAATGCCGAGCGTGCGATGCTGGAACTTGTTGGTGACCCAATGCGGCCAGTTCACCGTATGGTTGGAAAACAGCCTGCTGCTGGTGACAAGGTCGAGCCTCCACAATTGATGGATGAAGCCAAAAGAGATGGCCCTGACTCCGAGTCAGCGGAAGGGAGGTTAGGTCTTGAAGGTCAGGTTCCAGGCTCCGTGCCTGCGGAAGGGGGTGATGGTGAAGGATCACAATATGAGCCTAGCATCTATGAAGGTGATGATGATGGAGAGCGCATGGAAGAGGTGGAGAACCCTGACGTGAATGACATTTGGGGGGAGGCCCATGGTCCGGGGGAGCCCTCTGCTCTTTGAGCTCTTCGGGTGGGAGTCCAGGTGCTTTTCAACCGCGCAAACAACACAAGCTGCTGATGCTGGAGCGACACCACGGTTTGGAAATCCTGATGGTGGAACCTTGGGATCTATGTCGTCTTCAAGTTCAACATTGCGGGTGAACACATCAAGGTCTACTCCTTCAACCTTCAGTGCAACTTCAACTTTGGGTCCAAGCTCAACCTTGCCAAGTGTGACAAGTTCATCAAGTATGACGTCCAATGGCGGTGCAATCGAACGCTGGCCTCTTGGTGATTCCGTTAATGACTATACAACGAGAACATCAGGGATGGACTGCAGCGTTTCGAGAGGAGTCACAACGCCTCCCAATGGATGGTGATGAAGGTGGTCGCCAAGGTCAACTGATGAAGAACCTCAAGGTTCATGTCTATGTCTTGGAGGAGGAGTTGGATGTAGTGAACAAAATGGTAGTTGAATGTGAGGAGCGAAAGTGTCTGCTGGCTGCGCTCAACCTTAACGATGTGGGAGACGCCGAGAGCGATCAGTTTGAGATGCCTGTGGAGCCAAAGGTCCTCCAGACCCAAACTGTGCCTCTGAATGAAGTTAATGCCAACCTTCCAAAATGTGTTGATGCACTTCGAGCTGAATACACGAGCTTGACCGAGGGCACCAATGCCATCGAGCCTGTCCACAAAGACACGCTCCGACACCGAACTGATGTAGAGTATGCACCGGGCAAGTTGGTTGCAACTTTGAAACCGGGAAACAAGAAGAAGGCGAGGCTTGTCGTCTGCGGCAACAGGGTGGAGGTCTCGGCTGACAATCAGGTCGACCAGGACGGCTCCTCTGAGTATGCCAACAAGGGCCGCAAGACCTACGACACCTATGCTGGAGGTATTGACCGTGTATGTGTGCGAGCAGTGCTGAGGAAAGCTGGGGAGCGCCGGTGGAACTGTGCATCCATCGATGTGCGCACGGCCTTTCTGGTTGCCCCGCACCGTGGAAGTGGAACACTGGTGGTCAAACCGCCAAAGGTGCTTACAGCTTGTGGGTTGATCCCAGCAACAGAGATGTGGGAAGTCAACAAAGCGTTGTATGGACTTCAGTCATCACCGCAAGATTGGGGTGTGTTTCGAGATGGCGATCTGAAGACTTGGTCTTGGTCTGAAGGAGGCAGAACCTTTGCCCTCAAAGCTACCAATGAGGCCAATCGATGGCGCATCGTCGAGCTCTTCGAGTCTGGTGATGGGGAAGTGAAAGAGCCTCAAACGGTGGGACATATGGTGCTCTATGTCGATGACTTGCTGATCACTGGATCCACTGAAGTTGTCGATGCCACGCTCAAGAAGGTGCAGGCACGTTGGAAGTGTAGCGACCCTGAGTGGATGGCACCCGAAGGTCAAAAACCTATGACCTTTTGTGGCTTCGAAATCAAGAAAGGTCCTGATGGTGAAGTTGTGGTCACTCAGAAGTCCTATGCGGAGGAGCTGACCAGGCGACATGGCATCAAAAAGACAAGGCCTACGCCAATGTCGAGCTCTTTGGTGATTCCTGAGGAGCCGGAAGACTTCACCCGTGAACAACTTCGAGAAGCACAGGCTGTGACTGGTGAGCTGCTTTGGCTTTCGATACGGCCCGGACCTGATTTGAGCTATGTGACAGGGCTTATGGGTCGGATGTCAACAAAGAATCCTGCCTTTGTCTGTCAAGTTGGCCAAGAAGCCATGGAATACATCTATGGAACTCTGGATGTGGGTTTGGTCTATGGACCTCTGGTTCCGAATTTTGGGCCAGAGGATTGCCTTCCTTTTGCAAGGAGTATGACCAGGGTCGAGGTCTATGCTGACGTCTCCTTTGCTCCGCAGTTTTCCAAGAGTGTCCAAGGTGTGATCGAGCTGTATGGGGGTGCTCCAATACAGTGGCTGTCGAACCGACAGGGGTGTCTGACTTTGTCAACGGCAGAATCAGAGCTTCTCAGCTACATCGAGGCGATGTCAGTTGCCGACGCCATTGGCTGCATCATTTCCATCTTGGAGGAGGTCCCGATCGGTCTTCAAGATGATGTGGAGTCCACGTCACTGCCAACAAGGGTGACGATGGATGATCCTCAACACGGAATGAATCCTGGCTGGCCGGGCCGTGGCAAGGGGATGGGGAAACCAACTCCTCGGCCGCCGCCACCGCCGCCACCACCGCCGCCAGCTCAAGGACTACCTGGTGGAGCACAAGGGCAGTTCTATCGACCTGTCCGGGTGGAGCTCACTGTGCGAGTGCCAATGGTGGGATACCGTCAAGGGATCCCTGGTGTGGACTACTCCACCGAGCTCACCATGCGGAATCCTGATCAACCAGCTCCGCGTCTTGCTGCTGAACCACCAATAGTAGGAAAAATGGGCACTACAGCGACTGGGCCGTCTTCGGCAAGTGCTGGGGCTTCAAGTGCGAGTTCAAGGGCCCCTACAACGGAAAATCCTGGGGCTGCAAGCGCAAGTTCAAGGCCTCATGCAGCTGAACACCAGGCCACTGCGGCGGCCAGTGCATCAAGTGCTTCTACAACGGAAAATCAGGCCAATGCGGCCGGTGCATCAGGTGCACACCCAGCCTCCTCCAGACTGGGGGTTGTGGCTGAAATTAAGGGTAATGCCTGACGGGAGGAGGGTCAGGGAGACATACTACGAGAACATCCCACCTCCAACGTCAAGTGCGACTGGATCTGCGCCCAATGATCCGCCGACTGCCGACTCACCGGGTCCTGGTGAACCAGAGCCAGAGGCTGAGGACCGAGACGTCGTCTGATGTCGAAGTGGTGAGTCCAAAGAAGGTGATGAGAAAGGATGGAAGTCATGGTGCCGCACTACCTGCTGAACTTTACCATCAAGATCGGGCTCAGCTGGAGGGCTTCAAGTTTCAAGAGAATGTCATGGCGGTCGGGCTTTGCAACCCCCCGCTGGAGAAGATCATGGTGTCTGCGTATGTCTGGACGCTCGGGCTTGGCATCTTCATGATTGTGAATGTCAGGGCTCTGGTGTATGGCTTGACACTTGGGCTGAGCACCTTCAAGGATGTGTATGTCTTGGTGCCGAATGTCCTGACACTCGGGCTTCGCAACTATGTGATCCAGTATGTGGCGACGCTTGGGCTCCGCTGCTGTGCTGTGCGACCTGCCACCTTTGGGCTCCGCGACCACCTCTTGGGCTTGCTCCGCTACCATCTCTTGGGATGACTACCAATGGTTGGGCTTGTGATGGTGATGAATGCGGTGGAGGAGGTAGCGATGATCGGTACGATGATTGGTACGATGAAAAGTACGATGATGTGGGGCTACTTCATGGACGAGCTCTACAACCTCTTTGTGGTGAAGCCTTGCTGGGCTTCAATGGTGCTGCAAGGGACACGCCTGGTCCTGGGGAGCTGAAATGCTGGAGGAGATCTATGGCTGCGATTGGGCCACTCTACTTGCTGCTCTTCCTGGCCGTGGGCATCTGCCCTCTTGCATGCGGCCTGACTGGCCAACTTTGAATGAGGATCAAGTCTGTGAGGTTGGAAAAATTGGTTGGCACATGACCCCCAACGCTGTTCAGAATGTTCAAGATTTTTTGCGTTTTTCTCATCCTCATGCAGATCCTTGTAGCTGTGTAGCTAGTGCGAATGGTAGTGAAAAAGGGGCTGCGCCCTACAATGTGAAGCCTCAAGGGCTTTTGGAGCTGATTGGCGCCAAGGAGAACTCCGACAGTTCTCAAATCAACAGCCTGACTGGCGATCAAATCTCCAGGCATCAATCGGGTCCGGTAGAATCAACAGAAGAAGAGTTTTTGCAGGGTTCAGGTGCCCAGCTGAAGATTCAATGTCGCAGTGTGAACACTAGCCTTGAAGGGTCAAAATCTTCAGCTGGCGCTGAGAGCCAAGTAGCCGTAGCACCGGTGGAAGGCATGTCTGCCTACGGTGGTAGTTGTAGTGGTAGTTTCGTAGCTGCCATGCTCTTCGCGCTGCCGACCTTGGTGACGGGACAGCATGATGATGGTGGTCGCCGTGATCATGACGGAGACCTTGAGGCATTCCTGTTCTTCTTCGTGCTGCTGGTGTGCTACACTGCAGTGGTGATTTTGGGAGTGCTGGCATGCGTCTGGTGCCAACTCCGTGGAGTGAGACAAGTTGGAGGAAAGGGCGCTGGCAAAGGGCGCAACTACTCCAATCGAGAAATGGATGAATGGTATGGATGTGACCAACATCAACTACAGCGATGAGGAGGCGATGCCGACTCCGAGACTGAGGAGAAGGAGGACCACGGGAAGCTCTTCACAGGGTTCTGTGGCCGAACCGCATCACTGGCTTTCTCTGAAGCTGATGGGCCGCCAATTCAAGATCCGGAGAGGGAGCCTTTCAACTTGTGGCGCTCTCCCTACGAGTTCGAGGGGGACGACATGCCTGCCATCCCCGAGAACTATGTGGCTACGCCAAGCTCTCCTGACCACTGGGTGCCGATGAGCACGCGCATCCAAGAGCGACGTGATCGAGCAGAAGATGCACAACATGGTGGAAAGGGGAAAGAGAAGGGAAAAGGAAAAGAAAAAGGAAAGGATGTGGGAAGAAGAAGCATATTCCGGCCTGGCCAAGGGGCGAGACTCCGCCCGGCTACGCCATCTCCTTCGGCCTGCCCGGCCGAGGAGAGTCAAGAAGAGACATCAGTGGCCTCTACGCCGGGGACTGCTGACGTCACGCTTGACGAGTTCGAGGAGGAAGAGATGGATCCTGGAGTGGCATGGAACCACGGCGCAAAAGCACCACCAATGGCTTTGCAGCCGCGATGGTATGGGCTCCACCTGGTCCACCACGAGGACCTTCACCTCAAGGACTACAACAAGGTCCACTTGGACCACCCCAACAGGGTCCACAACATGGTCCACAAGGCCTACAACAAGGGCTACAACATGGACACCAAGGAGAAGGACTTCAAGATGCTGGCGGCGCGCCACCAAAAGCCGTTCCGGCCATTGGACCTGCGGGCAGCACGGCACCACAAGCCCGACCTGGCTGAGCCAGCAGGCGAACCAGCCACGGGTCTGCCAGATGATGGGCCACGGCGGGGTGAGTCTGACGAGGTACCCCCCCGGCCGACCATCTTTACAGCCGCTTTTGGCACGGTCTATCATGTGAGGCCGAGCTGCGGGAAACTTCGATGTGCCTCGTGCATCTTCAGGCATGAGGCGTTCACGCCTTGCCCATGCGGGCCTTTGCAGCGTGGTGCATGGGATGGTCTACATCCTCAACAAGTACCACACTGTGAACCACAGTGGCTTCCCAATGCCACGGAGGGCCTGTGCTGAGTGCGCCGGCTGAGTTTTAGGATTGGCCAAACTGGTCAAGGGGGAGTGCAATTGGCACTGCAACATGCAAACAGCATGGACCCCTGCAGATGGATGACACGCACAACATCGTGCGCTGCGACTTTTTCATGGCTCAAGATATAGGAGCTGCCGTCATTGGGCTGGTGTGTGGGAACTCAAAGGGTTGCTCGACCACTGGAAACCCATAACCGGGGCCCCCGTTCGTAGCCGCAGAAACAAATTGGAACCAAGACTTCATGACGTATTTTGCTTGCGAGATCCGTTCACGATTATAATTCCAATTGCTGAAGTGCATGAGGGTCAAATTCGCGGTCGAACTCACAAGTTTCCAAGCAAGTAGGGTAACCTCCTGCCCAGACCAAGTTGGGACAGGTAGATACTTCGGGCAACATTTTCGTTGGTGGGTTCACTTCCAGCACTGACCTCGACGGCCAAAGCAACGCCGGCAGCAACGACGTCATGGTGATGAATTTTTTGTCAGATGGTGCCCACCAATGGACTGTCCTCCATGGCGGTTCAAGCGCTGAACTGTCTGAGTACGATTGCCTTGAGGCTGAGAGGGAGAGGTTTGTTGTGGGCAGCCGCAGGAACTACTGTGCGGCATCATAGAGTGGCACGTTTTGCAGAGGCATAATGCCGTACTGTTTGTACACCTGGTTTTGGCCTGTGATGTCTTTTTGGTTGTGTTTTTTCTCGAAAAAATGATTTAAAAAACACATGTACAGCAAGATGTTAAGAAAGGAACACAAGTTACAGGGCGAGCGAAAATGCCTATCGCGGAAGGACCGTGCCCAAGGATTTTAAACATAAAGTAACCAGGAAAACATATCAGCAAACCTTGAAGAAGATTCATACAGATCCCAGCAGGAAACCGCAGACCCAAACTTCGCGATGAGTTCTGATTTGCTGGCAGTTGCTTCCGCCGAAGCTTATCATGAGCCTCAACTCCCAAGGTTCCAATTTCCACATATGTTTTCTTATTTTCTGTTGATCTGAGATTAAATGAACATGATGTCAGAACATGGCAATGTTCAAGGTACTGTACCATTTGTACCATTTGTTGTTGTTTCCGGTTGTTAAATTGCATAGCAGTTTTTACCGTGAGACACATTTTGGAACCAAGACTAAGACTTCATGACGTATTTTGCTTGTGAGATCCGTTCACGATTAATTCCAACTGCTGAGGTGCATGAGGGTCAAATTCGCGCTCGAACTCACAAGTTTCCAAGCAAGTAGGTTTTAACCTCCTGCCCAGACCAAGTTGGGGCAGGTAGATACTTCGGGCAACATTTTCGTTGGTGGGTTCTCTTCCAGCACTGACCTCGACGGCCAAAGCAACGCCGGCAGCAGCGACGTCATGGTGATGAAATTCCAGGCGTGGTAGAAGTGTAATAGCACAAATCACAAACGTCAGAAACCCGCAAAAACCTATATACAAGATTAAGATACGATTAAACTATATACGATTATGTAAGCCTTTGAAAGCGACCTGATGTTTGACACTGAAAGCAGTCCAGGGCCCTACAACGACCACGACCCAGACGACTGTGACTATGACCACCACCACCAGTCACTTGTCCTATAGTTTGGCCACCCACCATGACAAAACGTGCATTCGTATGAGCGGATTTGTGAATTTCTAAGGAAAATCATTCCAAGAGCTCTTTACCAATCACCCTTTCTTTTTTCCCGAGAGCGCGGCGAAGGGTTCTTCGTAAAAAAGCAGCCGTTGTAATACATCTTCACACCCTCACATCTGCTGATCTACATCTTCACACCCTCACATTTGCTGATCTACATCTTCACACCATCACATCTGCTGATCTACATCTTCACACCCTCACATCTGCAGATCTACATCTTCACACCTTCACATCTGCTGATCTACATCTTCACACCCTCACATCTGCAGATCTACATCTTCACACCTTCACACCTGCAGATCTACATCTTCACACCCTCACATCTGCAGATCTACATCTTCACACCCTCAAATCTGCTGATCTACATCTTCACACCCTCACATCTGCTGATCTACATCTTCACACCCTCACATTTGCTGATCTACATCTTCACACCATCACATCTGCTGATCTACATCTTCACACCCTCACATCTGCTGATCTACATCTTCACACCTTCACATCTGCTGATCTACATCTTCACACCTTCACATCTGCTGATCTACATCTTCACACCTTCACATCTGATCTACATCTTCAACCTTCACATCTGCAGATCTAGAATCTTCACACCTTCACATCTGCTGATCTACTCTTCACACCCTCACCCCTGCAGATCTAACATTTCCACCTCACATCTGCTGATCTACATCTTCAACACCTCACATGCTGAATCTACTCTTCACACCCTCACATCTGCAGATCTACATCTTCACACCTTCACATCTGCACATCTCCTCTCGCTCTTCTTTCTATCTCTCTCTTAAGGCGGGGGCGGCGCCGCAGGAGCGCCACGAAACGCAACCCTTTCGCACGAAATGGACGTTGGACGTCAAAAACTGACGTAAAATTGCGATTTAACTTAGTCGCGCGCAACCCTTTCCCACGAAATGGACGTTGGACGTCAAAAATTGAGGTAAAATTGCGATTTCGAGGTGTCCATCGCACGAAATGGACGTTGGACGTCAAAAACTGACGTAAAATTGCGATTTAACTTAGTCGCGCGCAACCCTTTCGCACGAAATGGACGTTGGACGTCAAAAATTGAGGTAAAATTGCGATTTTGAGGTGTCCATCGCACGAAATGGACGTTGGACGTCAAAAACTGACGTAAAATTGCGATTTTGAGGTGTCCATCGCAACCCTTTCGCACGAAATGGACGTTGGACGTGAAAAACTGAGGTAAAATTGCGATTTTGAGGTGTCACGGGCAACCCTTTCCTACGAAATGGACGTTGGATGTCAAAAACTGAGGAAAAATTGCGATTTTATTTTGTCCATCGCGGCCCTTTCGCACGAAATGGAGGTTGAACGTCAAAAACTGAAGAAAAATTGCCATTTCACGGGTCCGGTCTCTGTGTGTGAAAGTGTTTGTGTGTAAAAGCGTCTGTGTGTAAAAGCTTCTGTGTGTAAAAGCTTCTGTGTGTAAAAGCGTCTGTGTGTAAAAGCGTCTGTGTGTAAAAGGGTCTGTGTTTAAAAGCTTCTGTGTTTAAAAGCTTCTGTGTGTAAAAGTGACTGTGTGTAACATGGTCTGTGTGTAAAAGTGTCTGTGTGTAAAAGCGTTTGTGTGTAAACTGGTCTGTGTGTAAAGGTGTCTGTGTGTAAAAGCTTCTGTGTGTAAAAGCGTCTGTGTGCAGAAGCGTCTGTGGGTAAAAGCTTCTGTGTGTAAAAGCTTCTGTGTGTAAAAGCGTCTGTGTGTAAAAGCTTCTGTGTGTGAAAGTGACTGTGTGTAAAAGCTTCTGTGTGTAAAAGTGTCTGTGTGTAAAATCGTCTGTGTGTAAAAGTGTCTGTGTGTAAAAGCGTCTGTGTGTACAGGAGTCTGTGTGTAAAAGCCTCTGTGTGTAAAAGCGTCTGTGTGTAAAGGAGTCTGTGTGTAAAAGCCTCTGTGTGTAAAAGCGTCTGTGCGCAAAAGCGTCTGTGTGTGTAAAAGCTTCTGTGTGTAAAGGAGTCTGTGTGTGTAAAATGGTTTGTGTGTAAAAGTGTCTGTGTGTAAAAGCGTCTGTGTGTAAAGAAGTCCGTGTGTAAAAGTGTCTGTGTGTAAAGGAGTCTGTGTGTAAAAGCGTCTGTGTGTAAAGGAGTCGGTGTGTAAAAGCTTCTGTGTGTAAAAGCTTCTGTGTGTAAAAGCTTCTGTGTGTAAAAGCTTCTGTGTTTAAAAGCTTCTGTGTGTAAAAGTGACTGTGTGTAAAATGTTCTGTGTGTAAAAGTGTCTGTGTGTAAAAGCGTCTGTGTGTAAAGGAGTCTGCGTGTAAAAGCGTCTGTGCGCAAAAGCGTCTGTGTGTAAAAGCTTCTGTGTGTAAAAGCGTCTGTGTGTAAAATGGTCTGTGTGTAAAAGTGTCTGTGTGTAAAAGCGTCTCTGTATAAGAGCGTCGCGTTTCTTCACATCCGAGGAATGATGGTACCGAGCTTTTTCGGCAATGTGTGTAGGAATTACCATAGTAAAATGAGATAACACATGTCATTCGCAGCATCATGGTACCGAGCCTCCTGTGCACTTTTGTTGCTCACATTATATTTCTCCATGTTTTCTCTCTCTCTCTCTCTATCTCTCTCTCTCTCTCTATGTCTCTCTGTGGTTGCAAGACACGTGTTCTGATGCCCTTTACCAAATATCCTCTTCTTAATCAATCTTACTTTTCACACCTTATCCCTCCATAGCTCATAAAAATTCACCAGCCATTCACCGACTATCTTTTACGACTACCATCCGCACAGCTGCTTGAAAAACATCTTTTT